CCCCTGAGGAAGTGGGGGGCACCCTCATTTACAAGGAGGGCTTAGTTGCGGGCTTTGGGAGCCAAGTGTCATGGTGGGACAGAGTCCCAGGCTGTGCCTAGGGAACTGGGAAAAAACTAAATTAAAATTGTCTTACTTTCAAAAGTGGAAGATTTTCCAGTCTGAGGTTTAGCTTTCCTTTGCTGGGGCAAAAGGGTGTGTCCCCCCATGCCCCTTCCCTGTGACATCCATGATAAAGTTGTCTTTACAGAGAGTCACGCCTGGGGGAGTTAGTGCAGATTCCACAGAGCACGAGGACTCAAACAGGATCGCTGTCCAGGCTGCTGGTGTAAAGCCCCAGGGACACTGGAAGCTGCCACGGAGCTGTTGGTGGATTTTAAGCTGAGAGGGCCCATAGGACTGCTCCCTCTGCATTTCTACACAGTAACAAAAAATCCTGATTGCATATTGACAAAAAGTTAAAATAAGAAATTAAATGGTGAAGCTTTTTCCTGGTTCTCCTAGGACACAAGGCATGATGGGACTAAAATATTTTTTTGTTGCCAGTGTCCAATTCTCCTTAAAGTGGCAGTATAACCCACTTGTATCTGAATCTGCTGCATCTCCTAATGAACAATAACAAATTAGCCATCTCTGATCATAATTACACAGAAACTGTACAGTACTAACCATATTCTCCTAACATATGAATAACCGTATTCCAAGTCTGCTTACCTGAATAATGGTGTAACACATTTTCCCGGATTCTTTGCTAAATGTAGCATCCCTCAGGGACTGCTCCACGATCACATTGGCCACCTTCTCCAGATCTACACTTGCTGGATCTGTTTAAAAAAAAAGGTTAATAACCAGAGTAGGTAAAAGTATAGAAATGCATGGTGGCCGATATCAGATAATACAGGTGAAACTCGAATAATTAGAATATCGTGCAAAGTTCATTTATTTCACTAATGCAACTTAAAAGGTGAAACTAGTATATGAGATAGACTCATTACATGCAAAGCAAGATAATTCAAGCCGTGATTTGTCATAATTGTGATGATTATGGCTTACAGCTCATGAAAACCCCAAGAACCCCAACTCCACAACCTCAAAAAAGTAGATTATTACATGCAATCAATAAAACAAGGATTGTACATAGAACAATATCGGACCTCTGAAAAGTACAAGCATGCATATGTACTCAGTACTTGGTTTGGGCCCCTTTTGCAGCACTTACTGTAATTACTTTTGCACGATATTCTAATTATTCGAGTTTCACCTGTAGAATAACATTACTAAATTCCTTGAAAATCATGACTCCTGACCTTTCAACGCAGTCTTGAGGAGATTCTGTGTGTCAGCATCAAACGCCTGGATTTTGTACTCTTCCCCCATATTCTGAATGACAGTCACCACAGTAGTAAAAATACAGTTGCTAAAAAATAAAATACAACATTCAATTTGTCTGTCTACATTATTGGGCACGTACTGCATATCAGTTATGCTTAAAGTGATATTAAACCTTCAGGGTTTTTTTTGATTTAATGGATGGGAGGCCCACATTTCCACAAATCCTCCATTATTGTTTTAAAATGTTCAATTCCTTGTTCTCTAGTGGCTCCCTGCATCACTTTCCCTCCCGTCCCCTGCACAGGAGCCTCCATCAGCTAGCTAGCTGGCTGCTATGGAGGCACCCGTGCTTATGAGTTTCCAACCTCAGATCAGCTGAAATTCCTGCACCTTCAGACCTCAGATCAGCTCCAATTCCTGCACCCTCAGATGAACCACAAATCCTGCACCTCCAGACCACAGATCAGCCCCAAATGCATGCACCTCCAGACCACAGATCAGCCCCAAATGCTGCACCTCCAGACCACAGATCAAATGCTGCACCTCCAGACCACAGATCAGCCCCAAATGCATGCACCTCCAGACCACAGATCAAATGCTGCACCTCCAGACCACAGATCAGCTCCAAATGCTGCACCTCCAGAACAGCCCCAAATGCTGCACCTCCAGACCACAGAACAGCCCCAAATGCTGCACCGTCAGGCCAGAGATCTGCCCCAAATGCTGCACCTTCAGACCACAAATCAACCCCAGTTCCTGCACCATCAGACCACAAATCAACCCCAATTTCTGCACATTCAGACCTCAGATCAGCCCAAATTCCTGCACATTCAGACCTTAGATCATCTGGCCTGAAACAAGGACTGGCTGGGTGAATCCTGGACAGGTGGCATCCCTATCTACACCTCATGGCTGCTGCAACAGGTAAGAGCCCCCTCTGACTTGATGGGGCCCGGGCAAGGAGAGCCAGCTCTACCCCCCTATTTGCAGCCCTCCCTGTGAGCCAAAAGTAACTGATCCGCGGGCCAGTACTTTGAGACCCCTGATTTAGACGCATTTGCATGCATGTAGCCACTTTTAGAGCTTGTAATCGGATCCTGGATGCCAAGAATTCTATTTTTCCTAAATGCAGCAAAGTCTGAATGATAGGATTGAAAATCAATGCAATGCATTTAGAAATGTGCTCTAAACACAGGTTTGGCACTGTCGGTGTAAAGGATAGGAAGCCTAACCTAGCTCTGTTTTAGCAAGGCATTAAAAACAAAAAGGTCTTTAGAACCAACACATGTGAATTATCTACATTGTTTTCTATGTTCACCTTTATGTGTATACAGCTGTTACCTGAACCAAAAGTAGAATAGTTAAAAACAATTAAACAAAACAAATCAGCGGGCCATGAACCCTCATCATGACGTAACATACAGCCGTGTGTACGGAGCACATCAGCCATTACACACATACAGCTTGGTAAATAGTTTTTGTGCTCTGGCAGCGCAGCCACCATTCCGTCAGCAAGTATGGGCGCCCCGTATTTCCATTGCACTCTCGCCAGTATGGGCGTCCCGTACCCTCCATTGTACGCTCGCCAGTATGGGCGCCCTGTACCCGCCACCCTCCACTGTGCTCTCACCTGTTACTCCCGGTTCATGTTTCTGCACGACAGGCCCGTCTAAACGGGATCCTAATATCAGGCTAGGCCGCGGCTAGATGTGGAGCAGGCCGCAACAAGTCTGCAAACACAGCGACACCTACTGGCCACCTAGAAGTATAACGTCACCTGTGAGACGAACACAACAGGGCACAACAAAGGAGTCTACCTGATAATCGGTCAGGGAAAGCAATGCTATAAAATGAGGGGGCTGCCATTACTGACCTCCCTCTGGAAATGCTACTTGCCTGACTGCCCTGCTGACCATGCAGCCTCTATAGCTTTACATGCCTGGAACGCATATGCAGATCAAAAACTCAGAAGTTCCATTCTGCAACAAGAAACTCAGCATGACAGCCAGGAAACCAGCATTTTCAGGTGGAGAAGTCAACAATGGCTGTTATGCAGCCTTTCTCAATCAGAGTGCCCTCTGGCGTTGTCAGAGATGCCTTCAAAGTTTCACTAAAGTTGGGAGACTATGAAATGAAGGGGGGAGTTCTGATGTCAAAAGAGGGGGCTCTTAGTGTGTAGGGGACTCTGATGTAAAAAGAGGGGACTTTAATGTGAAGGGGGCATCTGATGTGAAAGTGGGGGTTTTATAATGTGAAGGGAGGCATCTTTTGTGAAGGTGGGGGCCCGTGATGTGAAAAGAGGGGGCTCTTAGTGTAGGGTGGACTTTTATGTGAAAAGGGAGGAATTTAATGTGAAGTGGGGACACTGATGTGAATGTGGGGGACTCTGATGTGAAAAGAGGGGGCTTTTAGTGTGAGGTGCTCTCATGTGAAAAGGGGGAACTTTAATGTGAAAGTGGGGGACTCTGATGTGAAAATAGGGGGCTTTTAGTGTGGGGGGCTCT